TTGCATTTTGTTTGTTAAGATTGTCAGTTTGTCTTCTAGTTCACTAATCCTTAAGGTTTATGTTGCTAGATGGTCCTCTAGGTTGCTAATCTTTATGTTTTGGGTAAATAGAGAGCACTCCATAAGTTTCATTTTGCCACCTCAACATACTATTTTCCTGTAGAATTTTATCAGTGGTGTTGAGTCATTGTTGAGGACTGCATACCTGGGTTATAACCATGGGCTGTTGATGAATTGTAGTTGCTGATGGCATTTGGGATAAAGAGGTCTTGAGTGTTTGCCATAGTGGTGGAAGAGAAGTCAGCTTGGGTGTGAGACGTGGGTGAGGATGGGTGTTGACTGAATCCAGTGAAAGATTTGGAGTCGTCCACCATTGTGGTTGTTGTGTTGGTCTGGGTGGGGGTGAGAGAGGTGGAAGATGCTCTGTCATCCTTCAGGGTAGACATGATTGGTAACAGTTTTCTTGGAATTTTGGTGTACGTCTTGGAGTTGTTTCTTCTATTTTTCTGTCCCATGAGAATACTAGCACAGTTGATGTGGAGCTACTGTAGTGGTAACTGTTGCTTGGCTGGTGTTACATCTGGCAGCAGGCTGGTGTTTAGTAGGCCTGGCAGTCCTCTTTTAGTCGTAAATGGTCAACTTGTCGACATCACTAACAGTTTTTTTGTTTTGTTTTGTTTTTTTAGTCATTATTAGTTCCATGTAGGTCAGTGCAGCAGTACAAGCGTTTAGGCCATAATTGGAGCTTAGATCAGGCCAGGGGACTGTAAAGATAAGGGAGCAGCCATTGTTGTTGTCACCATGGCAGCTAGTTACCAGCTTGTCCTCCTTAATATTAGCATGACTGTCTTTCTTTTAGGAGCAGATTCACCTTTACCACTCTTGCCTCCCTTGTTACTTTGACAGTCAGTAGAACTCTACTGCAATCCAATCTTTGGCGTGCAGAGACTGAATATATTTTTGACCAAGGAAAAACTAAATCATTATGTTCAGCAGAACAACATAGTAGAATTGCAATGCATTGATGTAGTGGTAGCATCATCAATGACATAATTTTTACAACTGTTTTTGTAATTTCCTTTTTAATTACTCAAAACATTTCATATTTTGATTACCCTGTTTATATTTCTTTAAATATTCATTGAAATTAGCCTGCTAAATATTATAATTTGTACATTAGATGAAATACAAATAAAATGTGATTTTCCTTCAAAATTTCAATTTCAGTGGTTGCCTCAGTGTCCAAGAAATTTTGAAAAAAAAAAAACATTTTTTCTTACAGAATTCAAGATAATATTTTTGTGAAGGTAATAAAACAAAACAAAACAAAATTTTGATCAGTACTTACTGAGATACAGAAGTGTGAAGTTGACCCAAAATGCTGGGTGGCGGCAACATCAGCAACTTCCGCAAAATCACATTTCTTTATTTTACATTTTTTTATACTTTTTTCTTTTCTTTTCTAATTTTTTCTTTTTCTAATAACATTTGGGGCCTGTGAGTCCAATACTGTATATAATGTATATATATATATACTCACTGTATTGAACACAATAACCACACTAAAGTTATTATTATAATATTGTTTACCAGTATTGTTTACAACAATAAACATGCACAAATGTTGTATATTACTAATGTTCTATTATATATTTACATATGTACAGTTACTCGACATGTTTCTAGAGCTGCTGCAGTCTGTGGAAGTCTCTGAAACAAGGTATCATGCACAGAGGTACCTTACATTCCTTGCACATAAGCCTTTGCAGGTACCTTACATTCCTTGCACATAAGCCTTTGCATCTTTGTTTCCGTCGTTTTGTTTCTGTATAGACAAGAAATCTCTTCTGAACCCATTTCTTCTTAGTTGCAGGAAGCTGTATTAGGAAGTGATCACCTTCCCTCCTCAAACACATAGGTATTCCTTGAGGAGTTCGAGGATGGTTTTGTATAGAATAAAGATACCTAACTGTTGCATATGTGTCTTACCTAACAACATAGCAGGTGTCGTTACCTGGTACTTCATTATGAGTTGTCTGACAACAGACAAACAAAATTCACCATACGGTGGTCTGTTGCCAGTCTTTATTTGGTACATATGTATTTTATGCATTGAGCATTGAAATGTCCATGAGATGGAAGAAAAGTTTCATGTTCCACTTGTAACTCTTACGAACACAATTAACAAAGCCAGTCTGCATGTCACACTTGTCAACCAAACGCATGTTTTATGTATAATCAATCACTGTTACTGGCTTTCGAATATGTTTATTGGTCACTCTATCAACTTTGCCACTGTCTTTCATTTCGTTAGGGTGAATGGTTGTCAACAATGTGACATCTCGTTTGTCATGCCACCATAATGCCATGATGTGGTTGGCAGTAAACACCTGCACCTCACCACTACGAGTGCCTGCGTTGAACCTGGGCATATGTTTACGATTAGAATGCACTGTGCCACACACATCTGTCATGTTCACTCGCAAGAAATCACTTAGTAAAGGGCTTGTGTACCAGTTATCAGTATATAATGTATGCCCCTTACCAAGATAAGGTGCTAGCATGTTTCTCACTACGTCACCTGAGATACCCAATAACATCCTGGTATCTTTCAGTGTTTTACTTCCCATGTATACAATAATATCCAATACCAGGCCACTGTCACAGTCACAGAGTACAAACAGTTTTATACTAAAGCGTTTCCTCTTGCTCAGTATATACTGCTTGAACAACAGTCTACCTTTGAACAAAATCAAAGACTCGTCAATTACAAGATTCTTGAATGGATAAAAGTACCTGTTGAACTTTTGTTTCAGATACATAAAAATATTTCTAATCTTGTATAACCTGTCACTTCTGTCAGGCCTGGTTTTGTCAGAGAAGTGCAACATACATAACAGTAAGATAAACCTGTTCACTGGGATGATTTGACTGAAGGGCAGGGCACAAATTAGCTGATCTGTGGTCATGAGGCATAAGCATTATTGTTGCAAAAAAGCAAATACATTTCAGCCACAGTTGTCTCTTTCCACCGGTGTAGTCTTGACTGTGGTGATGTGATCGTATTTGCCATGGTGTTATCAAAATACTTGTTACTTTCCCTGATAATAGTTTCCATCAAGGGCTGGTCAAAGAATAGTTCAAAGAATTCCAGTTCATTTGCAGTGTTTCCAAGGGAACAAGCTGGTTGGATTCCACTTTGAGAATCATCGAACTGATGGGGATTGAGAACAATTGGATTTTGTTGCCAATCCCAAATGCGGTTTGCTGGTGGATACTGGACATCATAAGCTGGTTGTGGTTGTAGTTGTAGTTGTGGTGTGGTGGTGGATGACGCTCCGCTTTGTCCTTGAGCTGAGGAGGCAGAGGCGTGGGTCCCAGCCTGGTCTGGTGACTCATGCATGGCCATGGCACTACCACCACCACTATCACCACCAATACTACCACCTACTGATGCCTGTGGTCTATCCATGCCAAATGTAGCCACATCGTCCTCACTTTCACTGTCTGTTCCATGTGTAGGGCCACGGGATGTACTCCATCTCCTGGGCACTGCATAGGGAACACTACCCGAGTGCATGTGGCGGCATATATACCGACGCTTTACTGGTGAATATGATTCATCACTATCACTACTCGAATAATCATCAAGAGTAATAAAATCACAGTCCACATCACTAACATCATCATTACTGAAATCTGAGGCCTAGCCACGCGAAAATATTAGTTTTCTCTTGCGATCGAAGTACAATTGGACGTGACTAAGACGTGCTCACACCAGAGGTAGAAGGTTGAGGATCGTCAGGATTTTCTGCACTATTTTCGATATCCTGGTCATTCCTTTCGGTCACTAATTAATCAAAACCATAGAATTATTCTTCTTTTCCACTTCCATCAGAGTCAGAACTATCAGTTAGGAAGAGGAGAGTCCCAATTCGTCTTGGAGTGAGAGCTGCCTTGCGGCGAGGCATGGTGAACAAAGCTTACTGAGGCGGCATTCCCATAATGCCATGCGGGCGCCTAGAATTTTTGTTTATGGCGCACACCACACAGACCCATTCTCTCAGATGTAGGCCTACCAGCCTTCTCGCGCTAAATTTGACGCTGCTAGAATTTTGGCATAGTTATATGGTTTGGATCCTCAACGTAAAGCCATAGATCTATGGCACGTACCCTGAAAGGGTTAAGTTAGTCTTTAGTTTGCATGAAATGCTTTGCATATAAAGGGGCTTTTGGCATGTTCACCAAATTGTTACACTCCTTTGTACAAACATGTATCATGCTAAAATTAACTTATTGTCACTGTCATTTGAAAACCAATGAGTTTCTCAAAATTATTTGATGGCAGCTCTTCAGTAAACCAATGAATTTTCAAAATAGTGAATTTACCATGAATTTTCAAGAAGCACTGTGTATCTGATCAGTTTATTAACTACTATTCACTGGATGTATTTAGGAATGTGACTACAGCTAAAGACTAAATTTTGAATAACATAGGCTAAATTTTTCAGGCAGTGTTAAAGTTATGAAGCTGTTTTTTAATACACCAGCCATCTTCCACCAAGCTGGGATGTCCCAAGAAAGAAAGAACACTTTCACCATCACTCTATCACTGTCTTGCCAGAAGTGTGCCAACATTACAGCTCTGGTGCCCCTCCAAACTGCAGTATCCCTGCCCCTCCTTCAGAGTGCAGGCACTGTACTTCTCGCCTCCAGGACTAAAGTCGTACTATCCATTATCTGTGAATCCTTTCATGAGTGTTACCTTGCTTGCACTTCAACAGCACATCAAGTCATAAAAAATCACTTGCCTGTACTCCATGCCTTCCTGGATGTCCAAGCCACTCGCATGCAAAACTTTAAAGGTGCAGTGGCTTGGGAATAAAATAGAATAAGTACGGTTTATAGTTTCATGTGATTCCTTTTGTATTTTATATCCGTAATCTATTTTAAGTTATATGGTAGGTTTTAGGTTTAGCAACTTTTTTCTTTGTTTGCAGGTGGGGTATATGGGTTCTAGCTGTGGTGGGCATCTTATATCAACAATTGTTCCATGAGAGGTTTAAGATGTTGGAAACTGCGTTTTACCTCATTATTGGCATCCTTCCTTCATTAGCTGTTATGGATATGGTAAGTCTTTTCATTAAGTCTTCTCAGTAATACTAACAAAATAATCACATTTGTTTTCTAGTACCTTTGTAGGCATACATATGTAAGTATTAGTGGTCAGCTGACAGGATGCCCATGGAATTGTCTCATGTTAACATTACAAAGTGTGTATTTGCTACTACAGTACTCTACCATAGTGGCAGATCATACTACAATAGTACCTTGGAACTAAACTCAGTTCTGAATATTATTTTTTCTCCCATTCTATAGTTTTTTTCCTTGAACCTACAGCATTAGTTTTATCGAGACCTTTAATAGTGATCATATATGCATGAGGTCTGACTTGGACCATTTAGAAAGCCACACCAACAAGAGGGAGAGAAGGTGGCAGTATATATAGGGCAGCTGGCAGAGACAGGACAAGAGAGGTAGGAGGAGTGGTAGTAGTAGAAGTATGGCAGGAAATGGAAGAAGTAGTAGTAGTGGTAGAAGAGGTAATGCTGATAGTGAAAGTAGTAGAAGTAGTGGTAGTGTAAAGTAGGGAGAGTGGTTGGTAGGACAAGATTAGAAAGGAGGGAGAGAAAAAAAGAGGCAAAAGTGAAAGTAGGAGCCAAAGGTAGTAGGAAAAGTAGTAGTAGTAGTGGAGTCAGTCATAGGCCAAGAAAGAAGAGCACTGCAGGAGAGCTAAGGGCCCACAAGGGGTAAGACCAAAAATGCTGGGGGGGGGGGGGGTTAAAAGTAAAGGACCAAACACTAAAGGCAGAAGAAAGAGACCCCAAAGCAAGAAAAAGGAAAAACAGGAAGGATTAGAGGTAGAAAGAGTAAGAGAAAAAGAATCAGGTTAAGTCATGGGTGTTCTGAAGTTTGGAGCATTTTACAGTGTAATGGGAATGGAAGGCATCAACATTAATGATCTTGGTGAAGGAATTACAAGTGACATGAGCAAATTTGCTGATACAAAAATAGGCCATATAATTCATTCTGAGGAGGATACCAATGAACTCCAGGAGGATTTGGACAAATTAATGTTTTGGTCTGAAAAATGGCAGATGAAGTTCAATGTGGATAAGTGTAAGGTACTAGTCCTTGGTGATAAATTAGACATGTGCAACTCTTGGGTATCTTTATTGAGGAAACATTTTGCCACACAGTGGCTTCATCAGTCCATACAAAGGAGAAACGTGAAGAACAGGAGGAGAATGAGGTAATCAGTCCGTCAACCTAGAGTCGATGTGGTCAGTCCATAAATCTTGATAACCATTTTGCTAGTGACTACAATATTGCATAATTTATCATCTTCAAGCCCACTGTTAAGCTCATGGTATAGGAGGTAAAGTTTTAGCATGGATATAGGCATGGCTTACCAATAGAAAGCAGAGAGTTTCCATTAATGGGGTCAAATCAGAATGAGGATTAGTCACTAGTGGCATTCCACAAGAATCAGTTTTAGGCCCTCTCTTATTCATAATTTACATTAATGACCTTGATTAAGGGATTATGAGTGACATGAGTAAATTTGCTGATGATACAAAGAGGCTGTATAATTGATTCTGAGGGGGATGTGAAAAAGACTTGGGAGTCATGGTAAGCAGAAATCTAAAGCCAAGACAGCAGTGCCTAAGTGTGCACAACAAGGCTAACAGATTACTAGGATTTATCTCTAGAAGTATAAGTAACAGAAGTCCAAAAGTTATTTTACAGCTCTATACATCACTAGTGAGGCCTCATTTAGATTATGCTGAAGATTGAGACACTTATGCAGCATATGGGAATCTTTATTCAGGAAACGTTTCGCCACACAGTGGCTTCATCAGTCCAATACAAAGAGGAAGGTGTAAGGAGAGGAGGAGTATGAGGTAATCAGTCCCTCAGCCTGAAGTCGATGTGTTCAGTCCAGCAATCTTGTAGATTGATGGACTGAACACAACTCCAGGCTGAGGGACTGATTACCTCATACTCCTCCTCTCCTTACACCTTCCTCTTTGTATTGGACTGATGAAGCCACTGTGTGGCGAAACGTTTCCTGAATAAAGATTCCCATATGCTGCATAAGTGTCTCAATCTTCAACTTGTCGGTTTTTCAAACCATTCATCACAGATTATGCTGCTCAGTTTTGGTCTCCTTACTACAGGATGGATAAAGACTCATTAGAGAACATACAGAGAAGAATGACTAAAATGATTTACTGCATAAGAAATATCCCGTATGAAGATAAACTTAAAGCCTTAAATTTCCACTCTCTGGAGAGATGTAGAATGAGGGGAGATATCATTGAAGTGTATAAGTGGATGACAGGCATAAACAAAGGAGATATTAATAAAGTACTGAGGGTGTTGAACCAGGTAAGAACCAGAAATAATGGATTTAAATTGGAAAAATTTAGATTTAGTAAGGACATAGGTAAGTACTGGTTTTCTAACAGATCTGTAGATGCGTGGACCAATCTATTCAAGTTATGTGATAGAGGCGTGAGGAGTTGGGTGGCTTAAAGGATTGGACAAATATTCTGAGTGGGAGGCTTGGGTTGTTGGATGCATGAGTTGAGGAAGCAAATTCTTGGGTAGCTTTGGTAGGGTTGTTTTATAACAGAGCCTTGATGGGCCATAGAACAATCTTTCAGTAGGTTGCTCCTTGTGCTTTAAAGAGATTCACAAAATATCTATTACTGGATTTGTTGTGCCATTGAGTACGAGAGCAAATTCTTGGTAGTTTGGATAGAGGTTGTTTTGATAAAGACCTGCTTGCATGGGCCAGTAGGCCTTCTGCAGAGTTTTTTCACAGCTTATGTTCTAACATTAATCTATTACTTGGATATTGTTAGTGTTCCTCCTGACTGAAAACCTGAGAAATTATTATAAGAATAGAGCATTTCTTCTCCTTGTCAGTAAGATACCCAGTTTTTTTTAAGAGACCTATATTCTAACTTTTGTTCTATAAACCTGCAAGGAACTTTTCAGGTTAGTTTTCAAATCCCTAGCAACTTTGATTTCATAGTCCAGTTTAGCTTTTCTTATCCCCTTTTTAATTAACCCTTTGACTGTTTACGCCGTATATATACATCTTACGCGCCACTGTTTCTGACATATTTATACACATAAATTCTAGCGGCTTCAGATCAAGCAGGAAAAAGCTGGTAGGCCCAGATGTGAGAGAATGGGTCTCCATGGTCAGTGTGCACCATATAAAAAAAATCGGGGAGCCAGTGGTGCATTGTGTGAATGCCATTTCAGTCGCCCTTTTCAGCATGCTTAGCGGTAAGAAATATGTGACTCCCCAGCAAATCTGGAACTCTTCGCTTCCTAAGTGATACTTTAACACAGATGGAAGTGTCAATGAAGATCAATTTCATGATTTCGAGGAATTTGAGACCAAAAGCAATTGAGGAGGAGGAGGAAGAGGAAGGAGGAGAAGGAAGAGGAGAGGAAGAGGAGAGGAGGAAGGGAGGAAGAGAAGGGAGAGAAAGGAGGGGAAGAGAAGAGGAAGAGAAGAGGAAGTGGAGGAAGGGAAAGAGGAGGAGAGGAGGAGGAAGAGGAGGAGGAGGAGGAGGAAGAGGAAGAAGAAGATGTAATAATATTGTTCCCTTGAAGCAAGAAAAAAATCAGTTCACCCCATAACAGTGACATGATAAGGGGAGATAACATCTGATAAGAGCTGATGTTTGATGAGCATAAACAGGGTGGGGGAGGGTGCAGCTGATAAGAAAAGATTAGATGACAGTCGCCCTTGCTTTGTTTTTGCTGGTACACAAACATTTCTGTCTGTCTATTTGTTTACTGGAGTTTACCTGGAGAGAGTTCCGGGGGTCAACGCCCCCGCGGCCCGGTCTGAGACCAGGCCTCCTGGTGGATCAGAGCCTGATCAACCAGGCTGTTGCTGCTGGCTGCACGCAAACCAACATACGAGCCACAGCCCGGCTGATCCGGAACTGACTTTAGGTGCTTGTCCAGTGCCAGCTTGAAGACTGCCAGGGGTCTGTTGGTAATCCCCCTTATGTGTGCTGGGAGGCAGTTGTCTGTCTGCCAAGCTCCCTGTCTTCCCGTCTAGCTCTCTGTGTCAGAGAGAACCACAAGACTGTGTCATCATCACCTTTACTCACATCTTCAAGCAGAGTATAGCACTTTGTCTGGATTTTTTGGGTTATCCTAGGTAATTTACACTATGTATACTTGTATATATGTGTACCTGTGAGACAGAGATAGACAGACAGATAGAAAGAGAGAGACAGATTGAAAGAGAATGAGGGAGAAAGATAATTAGATAGAATGGAGGGAAGCAGCATCCGACCCCATTGTTTTGACAGGCAGTAGGGGGAGTGAGTAATGAGATATGTCATTTTGACAGCTGCCAACTCCTGACTCAAAACAATTATAAGCCACACACTCACACACACACACAAGACAAGTTTGCTGAATGAAGATAATAGCAGTTATATGAAAGTATCTAGTGACTATGTATGTGTATATATATTATAGAAACCAGAAGGAAGGAAGAATGGAAGGCAGGAATGAAGGAAGGACGAGATGAAAGGAAGGAAAAAAGTAAGGAAAGACGAAGGAATGAAGGAATGCAGGAAGGTAGGTAGGAAAGGAATGCAGGAAGGTAGGTAGGAAAGGATTGCAGGAAGGTAGGAAAGGAATGCAGGAAGGTAGGAAAGGAATGCAGGAAGGTAGGAAAGAAGGTAGGAAAGGAATGCAGGAAGGTAGAAAACGAATGCAGGAAGGAAGGAATGATGACACACGACCATTTACCTAGGATAACTACATAACTCAACTGCCTGCTAATACTTGGAAGAAAACTGCTCAGACAAGGTGTTTTGTCTTTGCACATAAAAAAAAAGTCCACAAAAATGCACACACACTGGTTTTATATGTTTTTTATTTTTATTATTTTTTATTATCACACTGGCCGATTCCCACCAAGGCAGGGTGGCCCGAAAAAGAAAAACTTTCACCATCATTCACTCCATCACTGTCTTGCCAGAAGGGTGCTTTACACTACAGTTTTTAAACTGCAACATTAA